CTTTGGCTTCCCTGATTTTTCTTCGAATCAGATTATGCTTTCGTTCATACTCTGAGTTATTTCTATTTTTAAGCTGTCTTCTTTCGTCCATCATTTCGATTATTTCATATTTCATCCACGATTATTTTTTATAATGGGTGACAGTTCCACTTTGCGTTGCTGTATCAATGATACCATTCTTTATGTTATCCCATCTTTCTTCGACTGTTGGTACATTGTATACTTGTGTGATGTTGTTTCGAATTTTTTCGTTCATTGCCTGTTCAAAGTGATGTTTAAATTCTTCTTCCTTTAGTTTTTGTCTATCGTATTTCTTTGTAATGGAAGGCTTTTTGATTGTCTTTAATTTTAAGTTGATTCTAGATGCCAGTAAATTGTGATCGGTGGCTGCGTCGGCACTTGGATATGTCTTAGTACATTTTCATGAGTTTCGAAATCTATTGTTAATCATGATATAGTCTATTTGGTTACGCATTACACTACCATGGCCATCTCTCGGTGATATCCATGTATAGAGACGTCTTTTTGGTTGTTTAAAACATGTGTTGGTGATAACAAAGTTTTCCTCTTGGCAGAACTCCACCAATCTATTACCTCTTTCGTTTCCTTCCCCAAGACCGAATCCTCTAGTAATTCCGGGAGTTATGTCTTCTCCTACTTTAGTATTAAAGTTTTCCATTATTACACAAATTTCGTGTTTTTTTTGTGTTATTTAGTGCTTGCTTTAATACATAGTAAAATTCATTAATTTCGTTGTCTGTACTGTTACTTGTAGGAGCGTATACTTGTATTAAGTTTATATTAATCTTACTTTTAATAGTTATCATCATTATTCGCTCTGAAAGAGGAACAAATTTGTCAACCACGTTTTCAAGTCGTTCCTCAAGAATTATAGCAACACCATTTTCTTGAACATCATCGGTTTTTCCGGAGTAATAAGTAATATAACCTCCACTTTTTACAGTTCAAGATCCGGTCCATCTAGCTTCGCTAATTCCAAGGACTTGCAGGCCCAGACGTTTCATTTCGAGTTGTACATTTTTTAGCTTTCCTGGTTGATATAAAGTTCTAACATTCCACGTAGCAATATGTTTTATTAATGATCTATTTTTATTTTTATTTTTCTCTCCGGAGATTCTTAGCACCCCTGTCCCACTAAAGGGACGCCGGAGACTCGGGGCCGTAGTATGCTTTGTATTTGTCATGAAGCTTTTCTTGGGAGATTTAGTGCAGTAGTTTCCCATTGCTTTCTGCACCGCAGTATCACAGCCAGTTAAATCATTATGGGATTGCTGCCTGTGGGTGTCTGTCGTCAAACCTGCTAGATGTCATTCTAACAGCCTTGATTCAGTAATGGCATCACTGCTGCCTAATGTCATGCCCTCAGTTGATCCACGGGTACTTATTTGGCTAAGCCTTATTCGTACCTGCCCTGCATATCTGCAGGAACATTCCTCATCAGCCATTGGGACGCGCCGTGTCGGGGTTGAGGACATCCCCCGCCCAGTCTGTCTTACGCAAAGTATTGAGAGGCTCCTACTCAATTCAAAGTCCCTCCTCTACGCAAGCTGAGACCGGCACGGCAGGCAGGCTATTGAAATCCAAAAACACCCTATTAACTATTCAAATACAAAATGTGTCACAGACCAACCGAAAATACCGAGTAAACCAACAGAGTACGAGAAGGACATGAAGGCAGTTATAGATAAATTCGCCAGGGATAAATAATTCCACTACAATAATTACAATATGTTCCTACCGTCACAGTTTCTAAAAAATATATTAAACTAAAAATATAAACAGAACCACAAGGTAGCTTATGTTTAGGAAACAAGAAGCTGTAACGAAGAATGAATGTTTTACAATCATTTATGTTTGAATATGTTGTAACTGATTATTGAATGAATTAGAATGTCTTATTTTATCACAAAGACTAAAAATTGCGCAGAAAATTCACAAATTTGTAATAAACATTGATAACATTCTTAAATCAACGATAATGCTCGGTTTGCAACGTTTAAGATCTACGTCGCATAATATTATCTAATTCATAACAAGGTTATTACAGATATACCTATATACTTCAATTACGTAAACCCTTACATGAAATATATTTAATTACGACACATTAGTGAAACGTCTTATAAACTATATAAACTATTATGAACTAACTGATTTTGCTATGATTTAAATCCTTCACAAACATTTTTTATTATATTAAATCCCTTACAACACATTTGCAATTAATTTTATATAGCTTTCAGTTTGTTTAGAATAAAGTTGAGCTACAGAATTTAAAAATTTTAACGTAACAATTACTGAATTACTACACATTGTAGTAAAACGTTTTTCAGCTGTTAATGTTCTTATTTAGCTTTGTAAAATTAAAATATTGCAATCATTCTGCTTATTTTCTACACAAGATGTAGTGATAGGTGTAAATACTGATTTTATTTGGAGGTAAAAGTAGTTTAATTATGTTTATAGTAATATTAAACATGTCTTCTTAAAAGGCAAGTAGTAATTTATATATTTGGATTGATGATTTCTTTAATCCAATGGTTTCCCCAATGTAACGTGTTCATTTAGGACTTTTTATTACTCTTTTTTTTGAAAAAGAGTAACAACGCTTTTTTTGAAAGAAAGGTTCTAACAACGCAACCCGTTGGAATGAGAGGACGAGGTAGACCAAAGCTGAGGTGGATGGACAGGGTAACACAAGATGTCGAGAAGATCGGAGTCGGCAACTGGAAAATGCGAGCAAGGAACAGAACAGAATGGCGTAGAAAGCTTGAGAAGGCTCTAAGGGTTGTAGCACCAAGATGATGATGATTTTGAACATCGTCACAAGTTCGGTAGAGACAGTGTGAATGCCAAGTATAAGTGCAAGAAGTTCTCCAAGACCATGGCATGCCTTTTGCACCATTCATTGGTGATAACTTCAGAATAATGCATGACAATGCACGTTGTGCATCTACCCGTGAGTACCTTAATGAGGTCGGGATTCAAGTTCTACCATGGCCAGCACACAGTCCCGATCTTAACCCAATTGAGCATATCTGGGACAACCTCAAAAGACGGGTAAGAGCAAGAGTACCAGCCCCTGCATCCTTTGAAGAGCTGAAGACAGCTGCGGTAGAGGAGGGGCACAATGCACAATATCCCCCAATCTGATATCCAAGATATCATTAATGAATTGCCAAATCGGCTCCAAGAAGTCCTAAGGGCTAGAGGCGGTAGCATCCATTATTGATACCCAATTTTTTTTCAATTAAACTTTGATTTCCAAAATATTGTTAATTTGAATTTTCTTCGAAGATTTTATTCATTTGGATTTTTACTGTAACAAATGACTTTTTTCAAAAAGAATATTCTGTCTCTTCCGCGGAAATAAAAGTTGATAAAAAAGCATGTCTAGTTGTTAAAGCACCTAACTTTTGTACTATCCCACATAAGAGAATCAATCAAAAAACAAGATGTTGAGAAAGGGCTATAGTTATGATTTAATTTCAGTATTCTACAAATGCTAGAATATTCCACAGGGTGATGCAAACTTTAAGAAAAAATCACAGTTTGATTCGTACACACGGTATACAATGAAAATTTACCTGTTTAGCAACAATATTATTATAAAGATATTGTCAAGGAATAAGGCTATAACATATTTAAAAATCACTTAAAACAGGTTTAGGAGATATAAGAAATCAAAAATTACCCATTTTTAAGGTGGAAGGTTAATTTTGGCCCAGAGTGTATATGCTTTGAAACCAAACTACCAAACGCAAAATGTGTCATGACTGAAAAAAAGGCCCAGAATTGCAATGTGGTTTATGACCCTATTTAGCCTTAGTTCGCCACTACATTTACTTTATAAAATGTACATTAAGATAAATTGCACATTTACAAACGCAGGAAACAAAATGTTTCTAGTAATCGCGATAATTTAATCAGCGACAATTAAATTAAGATTGGTAGACATTTAGTCATTACAAAATTCAGAAGGGAACCAGACATGCTTACTGACTAACGAACAAAAGAGAGGTGCAACAGAAGAAGATAAAAATGTGCCCAAAAACAATAATAACACCAATACAATTTTTCCATTTTTAAATAATGTAGAATGACTTTATATTTCTAATAAACTTTTGATTTTTAAAATTGATTTGAATTGCCAATGATTTAGATACCGGTTATTTGATATTTTTGTGGCTTCATTTTCGTAAAAATTCGTTAGATGTTGGTAATTTTTTAATACGCAAATGTTTAGACAGGACGCCTATTACGCTGCCAAAACGGTATCTCGTGTTTTACAAACCACATAAATCAGCGCAATCCTGACCACTCACAATACGTTTTGTTGTGGTATCCTGCCTAATCCTACCTAAACGTCATTCTTGGTATTATTCGATTCTTACACTGATCTTTTTAATTTTCTTCCTGTCGGATGATTTTTGTTGAGGAAATGAGAAACATTGGTAAATATTGTGCAATATTCGTTTTTGTTGTATCATATTTTAATAATTTCTTAATAAATCCTTCCAAACTTGATTTAATTGTGAAAGTATTTCCAAAATATGTAACAGTACTCATCTTCATAAATCATTTAACAATAACTACACTGAAATAATGCTTTTGATATGTTTATGTTCTTGATCTGCCTCATATTGATCTGTATATAAAATATAATTTTACCTGTAATGTTGATTGTAAAATAAAAAGCTAAATTACCTCTCTAATGAATATTATACAAAATGATGATTCTGTAGTTATTGAAATACCAATTTATTATGTAAATTTCCCGAAATAAATTTTTAAATACATTTATTTCAGAGCGTAATTCTGCCGAGAGACGCCACCGCGCCGCCAATACCAACATCGAAGTTAATCACGTGGTTGTAGCAGAGGTTATAAGTAGCGCCGTCCCCGTATACTCCGTCTCTTTTCCAAAGTAACTAAAGTAAGAAGTACAAGTACAGTGATTAGTGGTCTGCGAAACATCCGAGGTTCAGAATGCCAGAAACAACTTCGACAAATGGATATTCAAACGGCCATTCCGGCTACGAAATGGCTGATGGGGCTGAATTCCTCTTCACATCCGAATCCGTCGGCGAGGGACATCCAGGTTAGTACGTTTTATTTTCATATAAAATGGCGGTAGAATACAATGTGTTCGGGCAGCCGCATGGCTCGCTAACACGAACAAATTTATTTTTAGCTCGCGTGCAGTCTAATGTTTATCAAAACTGTCATTGGATATGTTTTTGTTCTTTAGAGAAATTCATACTGAAAGTGAAAAATTGTAAACGTACGCCGCTAACACGTGCTTTCGACGATATTGCCGACCAAATTGTAACGCAATAAGGTCATGTTTGTTTTGTCGTCGATATTTTTGCCCTCTGGTTCCTGAAGAGGGTTTGTTTTTGTTTACAAATTGATCAGGCAACGTTGCACGTATAGTAAAAGAGATTGTTAGGAATTGCTAATTGCAATTAATCAGGTTTTTCGAACTACGTCACATTCATTCTGAATTTTAATTTATCAGGAAATACCGCATTCGGAATATGGGTTAGATTAGATAAGAATTGAAAAGTGGTAATTTTGGTGTAGCTAGACCTATATTTTAAAACTTGTGATACATTTTTTTACAATAAATTAAAGGAAATGCGATCGACTGATTAATTTTGGTTACTTTCTGGGTTTTTTAAGCCTAATTCATAATTCACATTTAAGTTATTCACGTCTTCTAGTGGAAATTCTTTTCAAGGAAAGCTATGTAGGTTTATTTTAATTTTTGGTTCCCTTTTAAATAACTTGATGTTAATACGAATAAAAATTTCGTCGATTTCGAAGCTGAAATTATTCATGGCCTTTCCTGTGGTCCTATTATAAGCGTTCTTGTATTTTCATGCATGTGAATGCACAAAATTCTCATTATATCTTCAAGAACAGCAAAACTTTCTGTTGTGTTTATCCTTTTCCAATAGGTAATAATCAAATCCGAACTTTTAAGGAAACTAAGTTGTAATTGCTTTCTACTTCATTGTCTTAATCCTATCGAAGTATTTAATTTCCTAACTCATTAAGTTGCTGTGTTACTTCTGTTCTAATTATAATTTTATTGTAACTCTTCAGAAAGTGTCAATTTTCAAGACAAATACGTAGGTATTTATGATTATAGATTGATAATAAATTCAATGAGCCACTGTATAAAATGTTTTCATAATTAATTGGGATATTTATAAGCGTAGGTCAGGTCCAAAATAGTTCATGTCGTTTTACAAGAAGATAGAAGTGGAATAGTATCCTGGCAATTAAACATATCGGGAATCTGAAAATTTGAGAAATATCTATTAACTTTCCAGCGGTCGCGTCCTTTGTACCAACAAGAATGGTCGCGCGTATTTCCTAGATACGCTAAATGCTAAATTAGTTATTTTAAGATGTAGGTAATGAAGTATTGTAATATTAATACAAAATATATTCGGTGGAAGATCGATACACTGTATTTCTTAAAAATTTTTATTGAATTTCATTAAAAATAACAACGGTGTCATAAATCCCAGATGTCTCCTAGATATTGCACATTACACATATTATTGTATCGCAGTTTTGCAGTCTTGACAAATATGCTTTGTTTGTTCCATACAGATGAATTTCTGACAAATTTCACAGCTGAAGCGCGTGATCCTTTTAACCTGCTGAAGCCGTGATCCTGAACATTTATCATTTTGATAAGGCTTACATCTTTTTTTACTTGCTGTGGCCTCCTCTACTGTCTCGATACCTAATTCTGTTTTTTTATGAGCTCATTTTGAAGGGAGTATTGTGTTCTTCGCTCGACGTGTCCTTTCACAAGAGCATTTGAAAGTCGAAGGTATTTTCTTCTTAGTAGTAGAAGTATTTTTTCTGGTAAAATACTACCATCGGCCATCTTCTGGTGTTCCTGGAAACATTGTAAGAAGCATAAGTTTGTCTACTTTATCTACACCTCCCTTGGTCTTGCTATAGAATGTTATAATTTCGGGTTTCTTTTGGTCACCTGTTTCTGCGTCGATTGCTGCGTCATCATGTAAGCTTGAAACTAATATTACGTTTTTATAGCGCTTAGGCACGTAGGAAGCAAGAGTCATGTCGTTCCGAAACCCTAAAATACTGGTATTGGGCTCACGCTTTTTTGTAACTTTAAATTCATTGGAATTTGGGCCTTATTTTTTTCATCGTTTCTACATAGGCAATTTTTTTCTGGTCAAGATCTTTTATCAAATAAAAATCAGAAAACCAGTTGTCAGTGTTCTCCCCGTATTAAATATAGGTGTTGCCAACCTTTTTACCACGTCTCGTGGTTTGTTACTTATGGAGAATGGGCCACCTGGTTGAGTCCCTGCATAAATTTCTTACAATGCCTCTAGTTTCTCGTCAATTGTAACATTTTTCACAAGCGAGTAGCATTTTTGACAATTAGACACAAACTCCTCGAAAATATTCCTTCTTGGGGCCAAGCCATCCATTTTTTACGTTCTCTCGTAGCTATGTCATCAAAACATAATGCTCTTCTTAAAAATAGAAATCTTCTCCAACTCATCACTGTTTTGAAATCATCCATTTTCCATAGTTCTTCAAGGTTAACTCGATTACCATGGTAAATGCCCGCCAAATAAAGCAAGCCCAAAAGGGCTGTTATTTCTAGTTTGTCTCTATCCCTGGCATCTCTTGGACGACAATAATTAGATCTTACAGAACTTATGTACTTATTTGTGAAGTTCACGATACTCTCAATCATAGGATCAGTTATGGGGCACTTCCAAATATCAACGATGTCTGTGGGATTCTTAGCTGGTCCAATGACTCCAGGAAGACGGAGTAATATATAGCGAGGTGGTCGCTTACTTTTTTTGTTTGGATTTTTTTGCCAAATCCATGAGTCGAAAACTTTTCCATTTTTCTTTAGGTGAGCTATGAAAGCCTCGTTGGAACTGTAAGCTTCGTCTTCGGCATTACTTCCAACACTCAATTAGGAATCGTCATCACGTTCCGAAACATGTTCCTCTTCGTCTGTATCGCTATCATCCATACGCATATCGTCATCCGACTCACCAACCATCAAATTTGTAACAGATTATATCAGTGGGATCATTGAGATTGAAAATCTTCTTATCTGCCATTTCTAAAATAAAATAAACAAAATGGAACTAATTGCCACAAACAGTCGCGTGTATATGAGAGATACAGACCTCTTATATCAACGTAGAAAGTTTTCAACATAAAAATTCATGAAATATGTAATATGTTATCAATATTACAATAAGAATAATGTAACTATAACAAAAAAACAGGTCTAAGGACAAAGTATTCGACAAATGTTTTTTTTTATTTTATTAAGTTTACTTGGTTTTCTTCATGGAAAATAACCTATAGTTTTTCCTTTGATATACATCCCCACATGTAAAAGTTTTGGCAAAGAATGTAGACGCGTAATATTTTTTGGTTTTGGCGTTGCATTCTTTTTTAATTTTTGTTATGATACAGTTTCGGCAGAGTATGTGGTTGGGCTGACATAATTTTTAATATGAACTAAAGCTCTCACTGGATTTATTTTAAATTTTCTCCTTATTTCTCTAATTTTTCTTGGATACCATTGACAGTATATTGTCACTATTTTGAGTTTTTTTCCTCACTCTATTATTTTTCTATAGCGATGATTGCATCATCATTCGCTATTTACATTTAAAAAGTAAAAATATACGAGTTGTGAATGGGATAACTAAAATATTCCAGATTAAGATGCTTTGTTAAGCAGAACAAAAAGAAACATTGGTTTTCTTTTTATTTTCAGTCAGTCAGATTGAATCGCCCTTTAAGCAGCTTTATACAGTACCCTCTTGTACAAACCTATTGTAAGATTTTACAACGACTTCTTTTATAGTTGGAGGACAATACAACATAAACTGAATTTAACGACATATTTAAATGGTAATTTTTTGCAATATTTAAGAGTGTGTTTTATAAGATGATGCAATATTTTAAATGTTTACTTGTGAGTTCGGATCTTTATATTATCTTATGTTTCTAAGTAGACTAGATGAGAATCTACCTAACCACAAAGCAAGAGAATAATGCTCATTTGCAGGCTACTACTTTTATTCAGTTAAGTAGACCTCAATGCATTTAGATATTTTTTCAAAATAACTTGAATGTTTCTGAAGAAAGGCAGCAAATATTTGATTTCACGCAAACAAATCCTATGTATCTCTTGATACGTATTTCGACCTAATAGGTCTCGTCAGAAGAGCTATTCATAGGAGTCCTCAACGTGAAAAATCAATATTTTCTGTTTTTTAAGAAGCAACAATAACATGCCTTCAATACGGACGCACTAGCGACATCTAATTACAAAAATCGTAAAATAGTTTCGAAACACAATTCAGATTTCTGCTTTATAATCTGAGCCTTCTAAAAATTGCAAGGCAAACAGACGTTGATAAAATATGTTAAAAGAGACATGGGGAATCTAGTTAAATGGGTCACGGGGTTAAAAGAGACATGATTCCCCATGTCTCTTTTAACATCTTTTATCAACGTCTGTTTGCCTTGCAATTTTTAGAAGGCTCAGATTATAAAGCAGAAATCTGAATTGTGTTTCGAAACTATTTTACGATTTTTGAATGTTTCTCTTGACGGATATCGAACCTGGCTCTTTTAAGTGATAGTTAAACGCCCTCCTATTTGAGATACTAGAACTATGTTCTTCTTAGCCTTCTATCATATGATGGCCTTTCCCAACCGACTCTATTGCCTTCCATCGGTCTCTATCCTAGGCAAGATGCTACTAATTTGTTTCGGCTATTCTATGTTATCTACCTATCTGATCTCTGGTCTTCCTCTCTGTCGTCTAGCTTCATTTGAAGCTTCATTTGAATTTGGCAAATATATCTTTGATTTTTGATTCCTCGTTCCTCTTTTTATCTTACAGTCGCATGCCCAGCATTGCTCTTTCGATTGCCTTTTATGTTATGGCTAGTTTATTCATATTTGCCTTGATTAGGGTCCAGGTTTGACCTTCGGTCTTCTTTAGTTCTTGTTTTCTTTGCGATATCTGTAGTCCGGCTTCCAGGTTTTTATTTATATTTTTGTTAATGTTGTCAATTTGGTCTTGATTATTTGAAGGATTTGAGTCGAACTTACTTGCTACGAACTTTCGAAAATCCTCTACATTTGTTCTTACTTTGAAGGCATCTTTGTTGTTATTTTAAAGATCCTTTTTCTCTCTTCTTTCATGGTCATGAAAATGACTATGTTGTGCATTATAAATTAATCATATTTTAGATATAATGCAATTGCGGTTTAACACGGCACATAATATTTGTCTGTTTATTTTTAACTCTTCCTTAATTTCAAAAATTCCTTTTGAATTCCATAACTTTTTTAAAGATCTGGTTTTCGGTTGAACCTACTAAGAATTCGGCTGCTACTTCTCCTTAATCCGTTTGCATGCTGGATACAAGACACTGTCAACCGACCACAAGCTGATTACAGACTTCTCTGAAAAAAGGGGTTTTCAACAGGAGTTTTTAAAGTCATTCTATGAGTCTGTACTGTCCTGGCAAAAAAAGACTAATCACTTCTTTATCTTTTTCTTAAAGCATTAATAATTGCTTTCATTGAGTAATAATCGATCCATTTATCATTTTACCTAATAACTTTTATCATCTTTTCAATCAGTTGTTACACAGTGTCCATCCAGAAAAATAAATCATTAATGTCTCTGTAGGTGGTCTTGTAATGCAAGTAATGCTTCAGTGAACCAGTCTATTTTTAAAACTAATGACGGGTACCAAAATAAACTCGTGTGGCACTATAGCGGTGCGTAGGCCTGCCTTGAACCATTAGTTGAAATAGAAAGTTCTATATTTAGACTCGTTAATAGGGTCAAGCTTTCATTAACTTTTGTAAGTTCACCATGTCAACATTTTATGTAGAAATGTTTAAAATATATTTAGGAAATCTATTCATAACTCATTGTTTCAGTTGTTATCTCACAAAATATATCAATTGTTAGATATATACTAGGGTTCATTGTCGAAAGGTTTCAAGAATTTAAATTTGATGTTTATTTGATAATTTCAATGACCTGTCTATTTTTATGTAAACTGTATTATCGTGTTTTGAGTTTATTGTATTAGCAATAAAAATTCAATCTTGCATTCATTATCGGAATATGAGTTACTAGCAGGTATCGATGTTTTTTATTAATTGGTGAGTCTTACAGCTGGTGTCGTTTCTCGCATTTTAATTTCCAGCGTTTTCGGTCGAAGCAATCTTCAATTTTTAAATCTCTGGCAGCCATTACATCTTCAACATCTTCTCTACAGGATCATCTTGGTTTGTATCGTTGTCTTCTAATGGACGGAGCCCATTTTTCCATCTTTTTTGGCCATCTATTTTCAGAAATACGTCTTAGTCTTTTGGTTTCAATTGTATCTATGATCAATTTCCATTGTCTCCATTGTCCAGATGTTGTCTAGATTAATTTCCATTTCTTTCCGAATATCTTCGTTCCTCACGCTATAAGTCTAGTGAGCCAGTAACATCGTCTCCAATAGTTCATTTTCGTAATTTCTCCAATTTTATTACGAAATGATCTCTCCTAGTAGTGAGTGATACTTAAATATGTGACCATAACTTTGAAAGAATTAAGAATTAGGAATTAAAATCGTTTACACTCTTAAAAAATACTTTCCTTTTTCCATCTTTTGATTTATATTTTGAATAATGAAGGTGCTAAGCAGCAACCTTGCTTTAGATCCTTACTAAAAAATGATTGAAAGTGGTACACTATCGTAATTATTTTTACAACCTTGAGAGTGAATTTATGACACTTAGCCTTGTGGTTTTTCGCTGGCCGTCCATGGAATTCTCAATGATTTGCACAGTTAACGTCCGTGTTTCTATCCTGTACAGTACAAGTTGGAATTAGACGTAATATTCAAAAAACTTTAATCTCAGTTTTCAGATTTCTGTCTGTTAAAAACGCTGCCATTGGCGTTTCTATTCATGCCTTAATCTCCTGGTCTAGATCCAATTCGGAGTTGGTGTAGGCATTCAGATACATATTTATATAATTATTAAATTTATATTAGAGTTACAACAATTTGTTAAAAAGCAATAAAGCAAAACCGCAAGAATATAGTATTGTTAGTCCAAAAATATTTAAATTGTACTTATATCGTACAATGATGTTCAATGTTGAACTTAAAAATGTGTCAAGATCACTTTTATTATTTATATTTGATTTTTATTTTACTCATTTTTTTGTTACAGATAAAATGTGTGATCAAATCAGTGACGCCATCTTAGACGCACATCTTGAACAAGATCCCAATGCAAAAGTTGCCTGTGGTAAGTACTGTCCTTGCAACATATTATTCACAATTCAAATTTTACTATAAATATGTCGGCTGTACAACATAATTGTGATTTGTTTTCTAAACGATACGGAAATCTGGGAAAATATTCATTCATTGTGGGTTCTTCACGTTTCTGTTCCATATTTTCGCAGTTAAACCATTACCAACTGTCCTTGGTTTTACATTTTGTTTATTGTTTATTTTTACATATATAACCAAGGATTACAAAGCTTCTTAGTAATTTGTTTCATTTGACATTCATTGTCCCATTTCAGAATCAATTCGTGTTATATTCTCTTAGTACTTAGTTTACAGTTTCTTTAAGTAATGCCATGTCCGTGTCAGTTACTGTGAATTTGCGAATATTTTTGCCAAATTGTGGATGAATGATAAATACGAATCTTCCTTCCAATATCATGTTAAGTTCCCATATCCATATAATCATCATACAACATTTTTCGCGCCCATTCAGGGTTTTCTGATTAATGTGTCGCGAAGAATCATTCCACATGGTCCTCCCTTGTCACATTTTGCTTCTGACTATCATAGGTTTCCACCTGATAATTTTTCTGAGTGTTTTTTTATGGCGTGTCTCTTTCACCATGGCGATCACCAGAGCGGTTTACCAGGTCGAGTACCACATAAAATAAGTGTGACAATTGTGTATTAATCGCACCTTGTATGAGTTGTCAGAACAATGCACAAATACATGCTCTTAAGCCATTGATTTTGAATGATAATGCACGCTCACGTAATAAGAACATTGTAATTGATTCACTGTGCAAATACGACTGGAAAACCTTGCTCTCATGCACTATGCAGTCTGAACATGAGCCTACCAGACTAAGACTTATTACATAAATTAAAAGAGTCTACCCCTAGACAACGGTTTTCATCTTTAAAAGCATTCGACAGCTGAGTAAAAGTGGTGAGCTGAGTGGCATAGCAAACCTCTCTTCAAGACATTGATAATAATTGATGACCGAAGAAACAGAACAAATTATTATAGAAAAGAAAGAAAAATGGTTAAACCTAAAAACAGAAGCAACAAGGAATGAATTTAAAGAATCACAAAGCTCAAAGAAGATAACCCTTTAATGTGGGAACAGCACTGCATTAATATAGAAGACAGAATAGGAGGTTCACAGTCCGCTGAAGTATGAAGATCAATAAGAAAGATCAAAACTAACCTTACATAACATAGAATCTAACAAAGCAACATTTGGAGAAGAAACGCACATATCATCTTTAGACACTTAGAAAAGGCATATGATAACGTGCCAATGTCAAAATTATGTGAAGTTATACACGAACTTGAAGTTAATACTTTGAAATAAATATACAGAAACAACAAGGCTTATATTCGTGTTAATAATATGTTATCAGAAGTTATATTTTCAACTAAAGGGTTAAGACAAGGATGCAGTCTATCTCGTCTATTATTTAATCTTTATTTAGAAAGTTTTATATCAGCGGAGACGCCATTGGTATAGAGATACCAAATGCAGATGACCAAGCTATTGTTGTACAGGACTCTTATGATCTGGAATTTTTTCTGAGGAGACTGTACGAAGCATATAAAGAATGGGGTAAGTTTGTAAAAAACAGAATAGTTAGTGTTTAACTCTGAAGCTAATTTTAAAGTTGTAATTGACCTGGAAATAACACAGCTAAAATCGTTTAAATATCTGGAGATGGACCAGGACAAGAGAAAATTAGACATAACGTAAGGAAGTAAAGTATGGACTTAAAATACTGAAGCAAAGAGAAAATTGGATATGTTATAGATGGACTATCTTCAAAGGAACGACAGAATTACCAACGAGACCATTAGATATAGGTGAAATGCCATAGGCACATTACCTAATCGAATAGAAAGGAGGAGTCTTCAATGGTTTCGGCATCTTCTGTGGTTGAAAGAAACCAGATGGCCCAGTACAGTATTTACGTGGAATCCGCCAGGAAGACCTAAAGAGAGGGTGCTCAAGACAGGCAAAGACGGCGAGTAGGAATGGGAATGCAGCGTTAGCTGTTTAAATCCCCTAATATACCTATATAGTGCATTAAAGGGATGAAGTTAAACCACATTTTCAAATCGTCCGACATACCAATATGTTTTTTCTCGTATAAACTATCCAACAATAATTTTTTATATTCCCTGTGTCTTTTCTGCAGCCTAGTAGATATCTCATAGCTTTAAGTTTATTTATTTTTTGTTTCCAAGCCTCTTTCACATATTGACAATTACTTAATTTAAGCAAATATACTTACTTATTAATTATAATTTTCCGTTTTTTTTAGAAACCGTTGCAAAAACTGGAATGATTCTTCTCTGTGGTGAAATTACATCAAAAGCTGTCGTTGACTATCAAAAAGTTGTCAGAGAAACAGTAAAGCACATAGGATATGACGACTCTTCAAAAGGTAAGGCTTTGATTCTGCTGAATTATGCTTTTTATATTTAGTTATTTACTTTTTAACAATATTTCTCGACAGATAATTATTAGTGTTTTGCAGTTAGATGTATGTAGTATTTTTATTATAATATATTGTGTAGTTTGCCAATGTCACATACAGATTATAATTAAAATATTGTCTATTAAGTTAAATTGAATGAAAACGTCAGGATCTGCGATCAAAGCTAGTAATCTTCACTTCATTCGCAAGTTGTTAATTCGAAATCTGTGGATGTTTGATCCGCATTTATACTTGATGGTCTGATAAGTATCCTCCTGCGAAATAAAAAACATGTTCTTCCAGAAAATTCTTTTATTTTATTCAATAAAATCTCCTTACAACTAAAAGAACAACGATTCCAGCAATTTTCTTGCATTGTTTTTGAGAAACAACACTTTTTTTCTGCATATGGGTTCCATTCTCACTGAGTTCTTGCTGAGTGCTAAAATGCACAATAATATTGGCTATTATTGATAGGTTTACCTTTTTGAAGAAAGTCAATTAAAATTATGCCTTTGCAATCCCAAAATATAGTGGCCATAACTTTTCCGACCCATTAAGCCACTTTTGGTCACTTCGGACCATTTTTGCAAGCTTCAATCCACTCCCGTGCATTCATTATGTTCTCTGGTGGGTAGTAGTGGATCCAGGTTTCATCAACAGTTACCAATTGACACCAAAACTCAAACGGATTGCGCTTCCTAAAGTCCAAATAATGCTGAGAAGTGGTCACACCATAATGATTATGATCAATTTTTTCATGGTTCATCAACAGGATAATTTTTTCATGGTTAAAACTTTGGTCAAAATATGACCAAATGCGTTCTTTACTCTTGTGGCCTTAGTTTAAGATCAACTAACACCATTTGAAGGACTTTTCTCACATTTTCCGGTGTAACTGAATCGGAAGCCGTCCAATATATGGTTCATCCAACGTAGATTGCGTCCACTACAAAATTCGCGGAACCAAAATTTGACAATATTATCTTTTGAATCATTAGTCCCATAATATCTAGTTTTTCTTTTGTTTCCTTTGGCGTTTTATTTCTTAAATAATTATTATTATTGAGAGACCGAAATTCGTTTTTTTCCATAGTGTCATTTTTAATATACTTATATATCTCTAAAAACGGTTAGACTTTATAAAAACGTAAGGTTCTTGGTAAGGAGGTTACTTATCAAACTACCAGATTACTGCAGTTTGCACTAATTTGGGAATAAATGTAAGAACATTCCTACAATAGATTCGAAACGGATCAGTTTCAATTGAAACATTGATGATAATAATCTGTATGTTACATTGTAGTACTAAAATGCTGTATATAGAGCAATATTTTCAACTGCTTTATTTTAAAACCTTCGAAACCACTTTTGCACACACTATGCAAGCTTATTTTAGCACTATAGCTTTCTTCTTGCACCGTTTTTTCTTTACTAAGCTAATATTCTTGTTAACAACTGTTGATACTTCATGTAAATTGTTTCGAGAGTCGACAGAGAGCCGTCTAGCAATGTACTTCAACAATTTAAAACTAATAAGCATACCATAAGAAATTGCATTCGAATGACATCTTGCTACATCTTTTCTGTCCTGCTGTATGGAGTGGAAGCGTGGACTTTAACTGAGGCTATCCTTAAACGCTTGACAGCCTTTGAGATGTGGATATACAGACGACTACTGAAAATAGGCTGGGTCGACAGAGTTAGAAATGAGGAGGTCCTTAGACGGCTGAACCAAACAACAGAACTGGTCAATATAATTATGAAACACAAGCTGGAATACTTCGGTCACATTATGAGACACCCTGAAAAATATGATCTTTTACATCTGATCATTCAGGGAAAGATCCAAGGTAATCGTGGTCCTGGTAGAAGAAGAACATCATGGTTGAAAAATCTAAGGCGATGGTATGGAAAATCAACTGCATCGTTTTAGAGCTCTTGTCAATAAAGTCACGATAGCGAATATGGTAGCCAACATGATAACCAACGATCGATAACGGTCATGGAACTAGAAGAAGAAGAAATTGCAGTGATTGGCTGAAAAGTTATGGGATTAATCAATAGTCCAATGAAAGCAGACATCAAGGGTTGAACAATAAAGATTAACACATTTCGAATAATTTATTTTATAAGAACGAAAAAAAAAAAAACATTACAGCATACCAACAGAAATAAGGATAAAGAAAAATAATTATCTGGATGCTATATTAAATTTATCATATCCTGATTAAAAAAAAAACTTGAATTCTTTTTTATTTAAAACACTTGTCTGTCCGTCTCGTAATTCATAAAATCGTTTTCATTGTGGTACCTTTGCATACCTGTGTGTAGAATACTTAGAAGAAAAGCTTCCTCAAATTACATTTACAGTCAAATAAAAGAAGTACCGGGTACTTGGAATTTAAGCTCTCCACCCTGTCTCTCAAAACCTGTTTCCTGTCAGGAATGTGATGTACAAGTACCTTTTGAGTCTATCCGTATTACATGGTCATTAGCTATATGGTCGTGTTTTTAAGTTTCAAATATCTGTGAAAACAGATGTATCTTCGATGTTGACAGAAAATGGTGTATACACATCATACACAGGAGAAAATTTAAATAGAAGAAGAAATCATTTTTGTCAGAATGTTGTAATATGTTTTAGAATGTTAAAAACAAGATTTTTAAACAAATTAAATGTTATTTATCTCTGTGGGAAATGATAATACCAGAGTTTTTTATGGAGTTGAAGAAAGGAAGTTATTCGATACCAAATCAAGTTGAACGGTAGAAAAATGTTGATTCGATGTTTTAAGTAATACAAAAGTAACTTGTATATTTATGACAATCTTTAAGAAATAACATTAGTATAGCCAAATTTAACGATGTCTTACAAGACGTTTATTGTCACTTTAAACTCTCTTAAAACTTACAAATAATAAAAATCGTACATAATTAAATCTGCGTTTTATAAAATATTGAACTAAGAAACTTTTGGAAAACGCTGTAGAGCAAGAGGTAAACTAGGAACAAAGATATCATAATGTCATTAACAAAATGAAAAGCTTTGAATGACTCACAGAAGAGCGTCTTTAATTAAAAAACAATATAACGAAAATGGAGAACTGATAAGTGCACGAATGACAAACGTAGAATAAACAACACATTGTTTGACAACAAACAAACACCAACACAAAAATAACTAAATTGGTGCAGCAACAGAAGCACTTGGAGAGAGGAAAGTATCGAACACTAAGATATCAAAAACGAAAACTTCTTGGTTTAGAGAGTAGGTGAAGACAAAATGTGAAGAAAAGAAGGAAGTTTTTTTTACAATACAGAACGCAACAGACATACAATCACTATAAACGAATCCGAAATGAAACCAATACTTTAGTCAGAGCAATAGAAAGAGAACAGTGGATAGAAGTTCTCAAAGCAGCTGAAACACAACATCTACGGAACACCCTCAGCTTTCCAGACGATTAAGTAGTTATGTCACAAAACTACAACTTGGAATATGTAAAAAGGAAATTGATTAAACAATATGAAAAATAGTTATTGAAACTAAATACATTGTAATGAGGGAAAACAAGAAGATACTGCACATACTTACAATCACTTCGGAATGGAACTCACGAAACTGAATTCTGGACGGAGTAGTTAAGGACCGAAATATACGAGCTACGAGCAGGAAAATTCATATCAAGGGAAAAATTATTCTATTATAAAAAGTCTATTTCAGAAATTGGTAGCACTAGATAATAATGTTTTCTCTCCTCAAACACAAATAATTATGTTGATTAATCATAATCAAATATTAATTTTTGGTCTATTAATAGACGATAAAAACAGTTGGGCAAATAAAGGGAGTCTTGATATCCATAATAGTCTTACATAATAGTTTAAAATACTCTTATAACTAATACCCTAATGTTGATTTGTATTGGTATAATTAAATTTACTTTATTCGTGGTCCCAAGATGTGCTACATACATCATTTTTATTGTCGAACTTCAGAAAACGGTATCATCATAAATTTGAAATACTTATTACGATTGTCATAATATTTCTTCTTCTTT